AAAAAACAATAGAAAAAATAAAAGATAAGTGGGTCAGGTGTTGATATTAAAAATAAAGAAGGCATCTCCTGACCACGATCACATGTGTTTTTTAGATGACAGAACGCCATCTAGTGGAGCAAAAATAAACTAAACGTTTATTTAGCTTGCTCCGTGATATTTGGCCAGCCCAATTTCTTTATAAAAAGCACATGTGCTCGTGGTCAGGAGATGCCTTCTTTATTTTTAATATCAACACCTGACCCACTTATATATATTTTTTTCTATTGTTTTTTCATGTGTTAAGCGTCTTTACGCAAAATTGGGCTCAAATACCCATTTCTTGATTTCTCAAGAAGCCTCTAGCACCAAAAATCTTTTTGGTCGCAGTGGTTACAGCCTACTCCACGCTGACGAGCGCCAACAGCGCGAAACGCGTTCGTGGATGGCTTTTCTTGATTTATCAAGAAATTGGGTTGGCCAAATATCACGGAGCAAGCTAAATAAACATTTAGTTTATTTTTGCTCCACTAGATGGCGCTCTGCCATCTAAAAAGCACATGTGCTCGAGGTCAGGAGATGCCTTCTTTATTTTTAATATATATATATATGTAAAGAAAGCATATCCTGACCAGGAGCACATGTGCTTTACAGAAGGCAGAGCGCCATCTGGTGGAACAGAAATAAACTAAATATTGATTTAGCCTGTTCCCTGATATTTGGCCAACCTAATTTATTATTAAATATCAAGAAATTGGGTTGGCCAAATGTGAGGGAACAGGCTAAATCAATGTTTAGTTGATTTCTGTTCCACCAGATGGCGCTCTGCCTTCTGTAAAGCACATGTGCTCCTGGCCAGGATATGCTTTCTTTATTTTTAATATCAACACTTGACCCACTTATTTTTTATTTTTTTCTATTGTTTTTTCATATACAGTGTACTCCGCTTATAACAAAGTCGGTTATAGCGAAATTCCGCATATAGCGAATGAAATTGTCTGCACGAAAGAAAAGAAGGGCTTAAACCATTAAAAGAACTCTGGATATTGCGAAGTCGGATATAAAGAATTTTCGCTTATAACGAAGTGATTTGCATGTATAAATTTTTATTTTATCCGTTTATAACGAAGTTTTCTCATTTACCATTATAATTGACTAATATATTATGCATAATATATATCAAATTACAACGTGTGAATGACACAAATTTAATGATACACAACAAATAAGTTAATAATATACAATTTTAAAATATGCAAACATATTATAAGTATTTTTTTTACATTATTTAAACAAAATTAAATTGTTTAATAAACGCTTATATTTTATTAACGTTTACCATGGCAGGAGAACGAAAACAAACAAGAAACTCACTATCTCTGTCAGTCAAGCTGCAAATCCTAAGAGAGATTGAAGTGGAGAAGAAAAAGACAGATGTTGCCCACATTCCGCATCCAAAAGAGGTCTTGGAGAGCATTCAAACTCTGCGATTGTTTCTTCAATGTCATGATGAGTCCAAGTCTCTTCATAGGCATCTGTCAGACTTGGACAACATCGAAAAGAGTGTTCAGCACTTGTTACTGACTTCTAAATGTCAAAAGAAAATCACAAACTACTTCTCCAAAAACACCTGATGAGGTTGTTATTGATCTTTGTGTTGCTCTTTTGAGTTGAATAGTTTATAAAATTATTGGTACAAAACATTTTTTTTTCCAACTGCGGATATAACAAACTTCGGATATAACAAAGTGATTGTCATGGATAATGCGACTTCGTTATAAGCGGAGTACACTGTATATGTGTTTGTGTTGAAATTGACAATTCCAGATATTTCTACCAAAGAATACTCGTGTGATTTGCATAGCATTATAGTATTGTCTATGTTAATTGACATCTCTGCTTATATAGCTCGGCCTTGTTGGATTGTTAGTAAGACTAGTGGTTATTTAAATAGGACAGACCGGCGTGAGCTGCTGATGTACATATAATTTGATATCTTTGTCCTTCTTCTATTGTTTTATACCTTCAAGTAATAAAGGATCTTCCTCTACGAATCTATAAATTTTCCCAAGCAATGTGTGTGTGCGCTCTATATAATGAACAGAAATATATTAGAGAGATAAACTTTTATAATTTTACAATTGAGTTTGGTTTTCAAAATCTCATCAGTATTTTCTCTTTTTCAAAAAAAAAATACATTTTGCTTCACTTTCTTGAAACTTTAAACGTTAATTTATTATATAAGTAAATTTAACAACAAAAAAAAACATAGACTATTAGATATGGTATAATTAATTTTTTGTGAGTTATGTTGTTATAATACAGCTTCAGAAAATGTTGGGAATTTCTATTATATAATTTCTAATAAAAATATAATAAGATATCATTTGATAGAGTTGTTCTTGTTGAACAGGGATGTTAATAGAGAACGTATTCTGTCGGGGAAACATCTGATAGTTAAATGCTGGTGAAAGGCTTGCTCAGAAACGATGTTTTTTTTATTATTAATATCCCTAGTACACGTGGTACAGGCCATGATAATCATGGTGGGTAGAAGTTGGCGACTGCTTTTACTATAAGTGCACCACATATCTACACATGTGAAAAGCAGTTCGACTTTGCACTTGCAAATGTGCCAAAGCCCCGTTTTGTTACTTGCATTCGCTGGCGAGGTTGGACTTTTGCACGAATTGGAGGCCATTGGAGCATTTTTAAATTTTAATTAGAAAACAAGTGCCCAATGCAGGATTCGATCCCGGGTTGTAGCGGTCGAAAACCACGATGGTAATTTATACATCTAATTTGGAATCAAATTTGAATTAAACGTTGGTTTTATTGAACGATGTCAGACTGATAGATGTTGTCAGGGATGAGTTTCTTGTCGAGAGAAGCAGTGGGCCTTTGTAAGCTGGTGAAAGGCTTGTTCAGAAATACGATGGAATTACATTAATTCAGGGTGGAAATATCTTCAAACTGTTTGGTGAGATGAACATAGAAATGGGAAGTTAACTAACAAACACAATGGTCACAATCCAAACTTCACACTCTCTCAAGTCTCTACTTCCAGGAATGAGACGAAGGGATTAAGTCAGGCGATGCTGTGCAGGGGATTTTACTAAAGAAGAGAAACATATAACCTATTGGAAGCAATTAATTTTTAACTTTCTATAGTAGAGGTTCTCCTAATTTATTTAGGTATTACATAATCTATAAAAGGATTAAAAAATTCGTTTGTCACAAGCCCTTAAAAGAGAATATATTTCCCTATAAAGATCTTTGGTGACAAAAATATGTATTTTTAAATTATTATTCTCACCAATTATTCTGCTTGAATTTTTAAAAACGACCTATTTCTTTAAACAGTAAAGCGAAGATGTAAATTTTGACAATTTTATTTTGACTGCTCCAACTATTATATTGTTGGTTTGGCATATAAAGCTTGCATCTTGCTGCTTTAGAAAATCGCGTCAAAATTACCTATTAAGTTAGGATTTTGTAAATATCGGAATTACAGACATTTTTGCTTCGAGCACAACTCTTCAGTGTGAATGACAAACATTTGTTCACAACTAGAAGGCGCTATGTGCTTAAATAAAGGTATTTTGTCCTGAAAGTTTGATTCATTTTAATTGAACTTGCGCAGATTGAATATATTTATATTTGTAGAGAATATTCTTTCTCTTAAAACTATATTATATATAAAATTGAGAAATATAAAATTTGTTCTTGAATGGAACTCTCAAATTGATATAATATTTGTTTACAAAGATTTTTATTCTATATGCAACTTAAAATTAAATGCTACATCAGTTATAGGGCTAAATGAACAAGATTCAAAACTGTAAATATAAGTTCGAAATCTAAGTACAGTACGGAATGTGACCATTTGTTTAGTCCATCCTCAATATATATATTCAATAAATGAAAGTGAGATATAGTAGAGAATAAGATGTACTGGTGCTGTGGCAGTATATTGGGGAGAAACATGACAGGAACATCACAAGTAAGGATCCATGTTATTTCAACATGTTAACCAAACAGGACACTCATTCAACCTGAGAAACCCCACCGTTCATTATACCAGAGTCCCCAATAAATCACAACGTTTATTTATAGAGGCCTGTATTTCCATGTTCGAGAGAGTTCCAAGAAGACGTCGCGGCAACAAGGTAATTGTCTTAGTTCTGCATCAAGAAAATATTGTCAGGATGTATCATCAATTGATGTCAGATATGGATTCAAATGGCGCTTTACGTTATCTATTCAACTATAACAACAAAGCGCGATGTCACGCTAAGGACACTGGCGCCCAATGAAAAGAAAATCAAAAGAAAGAGATAAAAAAAACGGAAACGTAAAAGAAAAAGAAAACATTTACGTTATTTGTAAGAAAATAAAACTTATATTAATATTGTCAAGCGGCTCAGCGGCTCCAACCACGAGAGGCCCCATGGGACGCATGACAATTATCCCTGGACACCGGGTGTGAGGGGTTTTCTCGGAATCTGGTCGGCGGGGGGAGCTGACGTCGTTCATTAGGATTTTCTTTAACTTAGGGTAAGTTGCACTCTCTTACTCTCCCTATAAATACCCCTTATAATAAATTAATTATCCCCAAACTTGCCCTTGCTTTATTTATCTCCGCGACAATATATTAACTTATATTATATTATATATAAACTTATATTAAATTAATATTCAGCCATATGTTAAAAGAAACAAGATATAAAATGGTAAAGAAAATATAGAAGAATGGTTAAATTATAATTGGTTGAATACTAACCACTCAAACCCTATGTTCATTGTAGAATATATTGTCCTCATATCATCTTATTTTATTATAAAGAGAACTTAAAATCTTGGACAATTCGAATTCATGTTTAAATAAAGAGAACACCTTAGCCATCAAAACTATTAAAATATACAAGTATCAGAGTCATCAATCAATTCTTAATTCTGTCCCGTTTGTGCTTTTGTGAATGGAATAAATACCCAAATATGGCCATTTCTTATAACCATCGGTAGTTCAGTGGTAAAATACTGGCCTGCCACGCGGGCGGCCCGGGTTCGATTCCCGGATTTTTTTTTACAATTTTTAAAACTCATTTATATATTATACAAGAATGACATCCACGGCGCCAATTTATAATTGTAACGAATAGTATTTGAATAAAAGCATTTAATCGGGTAAAACCCGGGCGTTGCCCGGGTTATTCGGCTAGTGTTACATAAAGGAACGCAGTGACTACCACGTACTTGTATTGTGGCAGGAATATCAAGGAGTAAAAATTGAAATAAACCCGGGTGATGGCCGGGTTTTTTACAATTTTCACCTGAAGAGGCTCGTCGCGTTACAAGCCCAATCCCAAGTAATATATCTTATTTCTTTGTTCTCTCTTTATTCTAACCCGGGTTCCCAGGTTGATAGTGTGAGGTAGTACGTAGGTTAGTTGAGGTCGTAGCTGGTGTCAAAGGTAGTTTGTTACACCACTGTGTTGTAACCCATCTGCATTGTAAGATTATAAACTCAAAAAAAAAATTCTCCTATAAACATGTTTATTCCACTAGCTTTCGAACGACATCGTGCTTCAACGGGCGTAAAGACAAGGTGTGATGTGAGATGCGTGCAATCATATAGACGTACATTAAGAGCCAAGATATAAACAAATTTGTAACTAACATGATGGCAGTTAGAATTAAAAATGGAGAAATAAGCCAGTTATGTAAATCCTTGTATTAGAGTGAGATAAACAATCTTAGTATAAAGTTTAGAAATAAGCAAATGAGAGATGCATTTGAAATAGAATATTGTGATTCATGGCTATTGCATTAATAAATGGTAAATCTTCGGGATTAGTATTTTCTTGTTGATGTTATGATTTTGAATGGAAATACAAGCCTCTATAAATAAACGTTGTGATTTATTGGGGACTCTGGTATAATGGACGGTGGGGTTTCTCAGGTTGAATGAGTGTCCTGTTTGGTTAACATGTTGAAATAACATGGATCCTTACTTGTGATGTTCCTGTCATGTTCCTTCATTCTGATGGCCACTATTCTACCGGTTTCTCCCACATAAGTGACAGGACACGCAGGAAACCGAGTAGACAGAGCCTCCAAAACAGGCGGAACTTGGGATGGGTGTGGGCTTGGTTATGGGATTCCTGATAAGAGATGTTTGGTGAATTGTTGAAGAAGGTGTTAATTCCGTATGGTCTGAGTATTCTGGAAATGGCAACGGATGCCTTGGAATACCGTATGAGGTAATTGAATCTGTGTACTGACGAAACTATGAAGGGGCTGGGAGAGTAAATGTGTATATTAATGAAGTCTGCGGTGCAACCGGCTGTTGTTAAGTGTTGATGAATCATTGTGTTTTTCTTTAGTTTTGAAAACTGGGAGGGAACAGTGCGTGTGAATGCTTTGGGAAAAGCTTAACTGTGTTTATTTTGTGTGCTATTGGGCAATGTGATTTAAAATGAGTGTAATGCGGAGTGAATAAACGGTAGTGTTGATGCTTGTGTCTGTGCGGATAATTAAGATATCGAGGAAAGGAAGGACTCCTCTCCGTTCTAATTCCAATGTGAATTTGAGGTCCGCGTGAAATTTATGTAACTCTGTGAGGATAGTATTATGGTTATGGCTAGGAATTATGCAGATAATGTCGTCTATGTACCTCCTCCAATAGAAAATATTGGGGGAAAGTGAACTGTTCACCCAATGATCAAAGGCACCCATGACTACCTCAGCCACGGCAGATGAAAGCGGACTTCCCATTGGCGTGCTCTTTATTTGTTGGTATGTAAGCTGATTGAAAGTACCCACTGATAAATCTAATGAGGTGAGCTTAATTAAAAAAGGTTAAGCTCACCTCATTAGCTTTATCAGTGGGCATTTTGACTTTCAATCAGCTCACATACTAACAAATCAAGGATTTCATTCTCTCTATATATATATTTATCATTATTCAATCTTATTTATTCATTTTTTATCAATTTTGTATTTAACCTTAAATAATCTTCTATGAACTATGTAATGAAGAAGTTTCAATCTCAATCTCTCTCATTTCTAACAAATTAGAAAGAAAAGAATAAGTTAATATAAAGAAGATATGAAAATTCTTTTGGAACATTTAGAAGCTTTTATGGAATTTACAGGGTATACGCAGTAACTTCAGAGATAATTTGGAGAAATGGACACCAGGAAGAATTGTAGGAAGAAAAGGTGGCAGGGTGTACCGAGTTGAGATAACGGTCAAATAAAAGATATTCATATAGACCAATTAAGGAATTCTACCAAAAGGAAGAGATAGAGGAGGTACAGGAGGGCTGAGAGTGGCTCCGGGTCAGACAGCAGGGAGCTAGTGAGGAATGGGATCAAAGTACACGAAGATACCGTGCAAGAAGATACTGTTAAAGTAAAATGACACCAAGGCTGGAGTCCAACTCTATATGAGATCTTGCCTAGAATCCACCTATGAACAGACGTCCACCAGATTGATAACGTTGAAGGTGGTGGATGTGAAATACCAATGAATTATTCAACCTATTGCTCTGTGTGTGACACGCCTATGTTAATGCTCTAAATAGTCGATGTTATTAATTTGGTAAATTTGTGTTTTGAAATTTTTGGATTCTTGGTTATTTCCTCTAAATGTACGGGATAAGTTCTATTTACCACAGAGACTATTATAGACATATATTGTCCCTTTAGCACTTGAGCAGTGATCATGATTTGTGTTTGTTTTTTTTTCTAAAAACAAGATGCAATGGAAAATAACAAAAGAGAGAGAGTATCGTTTTATTAAATAATTTCACTAGAAGTATACAGAGATACGATGGCCTTAAGAGATATTGCTGAAATCCATATGTTGCAATCCATAAACAACCAAATGCTTCAAAATTTCCAGAATGACTGAAGAAATGGGGATATGAGGAAGCGTGTGTGTGCCGCGATTAAAAATTCAGACGCGAAAAATTTCTTTAATTGTAAAATCGTTTCACAAACATTCGAACCTTTCGGTTCTTCGACTGGTGTAGAATTACAAGGAACGCTGATACGAAGATGGCCTTACATACGAGGGGTGTCCCATAAGTCCGTGGCCCGAACATGAGAACGAAATATTAGAAACTAATAAATTTTACCATATATACCTTAAAGCCTTGTATAAAGATATGTAAATTTTTAAGTTTCTACAACTATAACCGTTTTTTTTTTTGTTATAGGTTCTGAAAGAGGACAAGAAACAGGAATCATCTAAAATGTAGACAAACGAGATTCGTGCTGTAATAAAATATCTTTGTAAGAAAGGAATGTCGCCGAAGGAAATCTATGAAGATATGTGGATACATTAAGGGAAGATACTCCTTCCTATAGCACATTAAAAAATTTGGTAGCTGCGTTTAAATTAGGGAGGATCAGCACCGAAGACGAACATCGACCAGGAAGACCTGTTGAGTCAGTTACTCAAGAAAACATCGACAAGATACATGATTTGGTTATGTTGAACAGAAGATTTACAGTTCGTCAGATAGAAGAGACCTTGGGTATTCCAAAAACAACAGTGGATCGGACCATGAGAGAACACTTGGGCCTCAGGAAGCTTTCTGCCCGTTGGGTTCCCAAACTTTTGACACCCGATCAAAAGGCTGTAAGGAGAAAGTTATCTTCGGACAATCTTGCGTTATTTGAAGCCAATCCAGAGTAATTTGTTAATAGATTTGTTACCATGGATGAGACTTGGGCCCACAACTTTACACCAGAGTCCAAACAACAATCCATGCAATGGAGACACTCCGGTTCCCTTCCCCCCAAGAAAGCCAAGACAGTTCCATCAGCAGGGAAGGTTATGGTGTCTGTCTTTTGGGATTCCGAGGATGTACTTCTTCTAGACTTTCTGAATAATGGTCAAACCATCACTGGCAATTATTATGCACATCTTGTGAAGCAACTACGAGAAGCTATTAAAGAAAAGAGAAGAGGAAAGTTGTCCAGGAAGATTGTTTACCATCAAGATAATGCTCCGAGTCATCGGTCGCTGCAAGCCATGGCTGCTATTTATGATTCGGGCTTTGAAATTTTTACCACATGCACCCTATTCACCAGATCTAGCTCCGTCTGAATTCCACCTATTTCCTCATTTGAAAAAATCACTTTCTGGCATTCATTTTAGGTCAGATGAAGAGGTCATTGATGCTGTAACCTCATTTTTTGAGTTACTTGAAACATCGTTCTTTTTGGAGGGCATAAAAGCATTAGAACATCGCTAGAAAAAGTGTATAGACCTTAAAGGGGATAATGTTGAAGAATAAATCATAATCATTTTATCAGTCATTTTCTTTATATGTCGGGCCACGGACTTATGGAACACCCCTCGTATATACCGCGGCAATGGTTTTACATATATTTATAACAGAATATGCTACAATATTTATGCAAATAATTATATGCAAAAAAAAGGCGATAAAACATGTTCAGTAGCAAGGGAGCAATAATTATAAAATAGGTAATGATAAATAAATAAAAACTTATCAAGGCAAGGGTTCAAACTGGAATATTGCAGTAATGATCAGGAAGGTCTAAAGTCGAGTTTTTCTCTTGATTTTTTGGGAAACTAAAGTTTACAATACCAGTCTTTGGTACTTTTTCTCTTATGTTTCTATTTGATATTGCTTAATTTAGGTTGAAAGTGTTCCCTGCAATGTGGTTGTGCTGATATAGTAAGGAAAGTTTATTTAGATATAAAGATTTATATTTTCATACTTGAAGATGGAAATTGTTAAATGTGAGATCTATGTGGTAAATAAAATATTTGACAGAGAACTTTCAAATAGTTATCGTCACACATGATTGATCAAGTTATTAACTCTCCTACATACGCAAAACACAAGATTTTAAAATGATTAAACATCCTAATAAGATATTTGACTGTCCTTAAAATTGTCACAAAACTTACACGCCAATTTCCTTTTTTAGAAAAAGTAAAAAAGAGTTTTCAATTTTTTCTTAATATAATACTTGGCTTAGTACCTTCTTTCTTTTGTTCTAATTTTAATATAGTTTAACCGTCTCAAAGCACTTTCCATCTGAAA